ATCAATCAGACAGTTGTTTCTGCAGATTATCGTTCTTGATTCATCGGATTGTAAAGGTATTTTTAACACGATCTCATGCCTTCTCTCCCTCCCCTGAAATATGCAAAAAAAAATTGATGCTCATATCCCTAATATGTGTGCTGTGCTCTAAGTTACTGTGGATCTATGTTGTTTTTAGTGTCCACTTAGCTCGGATCTATAGTGTTTTTAGTGTTCACGGTGGTTTGGATTTTTTTTTGTATTCTAGTTTTAGTTGTAGTTACTGAACCCATCCTGATTCAGTATTTCAAGTTATTGAGTTTTAGTGTATTATGTTTGGCACTCGTCTGCTGCTTTTGCTTGTTATTTTCGTGTGCCAGAGATGTTGGTTTAGTTGTGTGTGCTCAGCATCTGCGCTTTTATCCGATCCATTGCATTTCGTGAGCGAGACTTTGCTGTGACTGTATGTGTGTGAGAGGATGAATAAATAAACAAGGAGAGGAAATCATCGGTCATTAGCTTTATTAGCAACATGAGCTTGCGGATCATCAACTAGTGGTTCTGGGTTGGCGTACACCTCTGCTTGCTTGAGATCCTCTCCTCATGCAGTCTCTCGTTGCTGGTGCTGTGTTCCTATGTGGTGTGCTTTTTGTGTGTCTCTGAGAGAGAGAGAGAGAGAGAGAGATTAGCTACCTATGCATTATATTAACAAATAATTCATTGCCACTATACTGCTGCTAAATGTTGAGAACCATGATGAGTATTTGCTTTATCTTTCATTTCATTGGATCAAATTTGTGGATATGGCTTATATAGTAGTATTTAGCAATTGATACTACTATTTCAGATATGTTACTTATTTTTTTGTAGGCGCCAATTACATCATATATATTTTGTTCAGCAGCAGTTTTACTTTGTTCTTTTCATTTTGTCCCTAGTCCAAAGTGGCATGTTGCCTCTCTGTGTCTAGTTCATTGCCAGAAATTAGCCATGTTTTGCTCCCACAGGCAGAATTTTTGTTTAAGTTTTGTTCATAAGTACATTAGGATGACAAAGTGGTTCGATGAGTTAGAGAAAATTCGTAGTAGTAGCTGACTGAGGTGAGTGTGTTTTTTTCATTCCCTGTGCAATGTAACTTTCTTGATACAAAGAATCTACATTTATAATTCATTTCATGCTTGCCTTTTGTGCTTGTTTTTTTATGGTTGTTAGTTCCTTCTATTAGTTTCCTTTTTTAGCTTCAGCTTCATGGATGCTCGGCCCATTAGCGTATGGGTAGCTGTAGCTTAGTTGCAGATCCATGTCTTACTGGTTATTACCTGAGACTTTCAGTTGAGTTATTAGTTTACTTTAGTTTTTTTTTAGTTTTTTTTCAGTCTTAGTTTAGGTTTCAGGGTACCTAGTGACTACATCCATTGTCAAAGGATTAGAAAGTTCAGTTCAATTCGGTGAGAATTTATTTTCGGTTTTACTTTAGTTTCAGTTCAATCTCGAGTTAAGTTATTTATAGCTCATTTTTAGTTTAAGTTCAGTTTGAAGTCCAACAAGTTAAGTTTAATTTCAGTGTAGCCTATTTTCAGCTTTAAGTCTTGAATATTAATTTCTTGTTTGCATGTTTTTGGTTCAAATATTTGATGTAGCCTATTTATATTAAATATTTATTATTGAGATATTAACTATTGGATGGTGATTATTTGTTTGGTTTGAGAAAGATTTGTTCCCCTAACTTGTTGTTAGTGGCAAAGAGTTGGCTTGGCTATTAGCGCCTTGTTGTGATATATGATTGACCTCATGCATGTGGGCTTCAAGACACTCCATTTTTTTTTTTTGGTGATGTTTGGTCTGTTACGTGTCTTTTTCCTTGCTCGTGTTTCAAAGATATGTATCATGGCGATAATTTCATGTGCTTCCATGTGTGCTTTAGTCACTGTCTACAACTCTCCTATGTTGTTTGAGATAAAAAAAACGAAAGTTGTACTAGATTTATTAACGTTGATATTGGCCTATCTGGTTCACAGGTAGCTGGAGCTGCTGTTGATGCTAGGTTGCCCCTTGAAAAGGTAGCTAAACAAGCAAGGCATGCATCTAAGTTGGTTGGTACAATGGAAGTTGCTCTGTCATGGTGTACACTTCCTGGTAAGGGAACCTCAGATCGTCTAGGTCGAAGATCAAATGGAGCTTACTTGTGATGATATGTATTGGGAAAAATTGTAAGTTTACTTGTCATGATCCTCAAGCTACAGACCGTTGAGATGTAATGTACTACTACTACATATTGTCCTTTGGTAAGATTGTATACATCAATTTTCAGCTGCATCTATTCTTCTAAATATTGGGTGTCTGTCATCTTTGCTAAAGTCCTGCAATGTCCATTCTAGAGGTTGTTGCAACTATGAGATGGCTGCTTTGAGGCCTGCATTTTAAGCAATTGTGAGTACATTTCATGTCTCGATAAAATCTAGTTTACCATGACTTGTACCTTCATTGGCGATTTTCGAATCTTGTTGATTTTGTTATCTGGAAACTACCAATAGAGTATTTTCTCACATACAGAATACTCAATTTTGAGTTTAGAAAACCACACAGCTTGCAAAATATGCTCCAGCTACTTTAAAGTTGTGTTGGTGCACTACTGCACAAATAAGATGCATCCACAGTATATTATTGATTTTTTGTTAATTATTCTTGTCCATAGTAGTCGTAGTGCTCTGTTCCTATTAATCTTTTCTATTCACGAAAACAAAACAAATAAAACATTGTCAATTAATTGTAATCAGCAATAATATAAATTGCAACTATCGAGCACCGCAATTGTAGTTTTGAGCATTTGCAATATGTGAAAATTTTAGTTACCTCATGACTGTAATTGGCATTTATGTTGTTTCAAGCAAATTTGTGATAACTTTCAATGTTCATTTTCAAATCCCTTGAAATACCAACCTGCAAATCAAAAGAGAAATACCAACTTAGTAGTTCTTATATAATTCAATGCCAAAAGGTTTTCCATAGAGTGTAAGTATGGGCCTAAGACCTGTCTGGATGCATAGTCGATGGACCTAACTTTCCTGACATACCTATTAAGAATCTATGTTAACCATTTTGTCTGAAACATCTCAATGAGCTCATAGTCTGTCCCTTTGCGACTTGCGACTTGAGGGTAATTATTACATTGGGATGCAACCCCAGTGTGATGAAGGATCAGCTAGATATTTTGTTAACCATTTTTCTATATTCTATAAATTAAAGTTGTGTCATCGTATTGTTATGGTTTATAGTCGAACCTAATCTATCTATCTAAAGAAGAAAATGTTCCACTTCATCGGCTCATGACACTGACCGAAAAAGAGTAGTTTTTGTTATTTAGAAATTATTAACAGAGAATTTTCTGTTCATGAAAACAAAACATATAAAACATATAGTTAATTAATTGCAATCAACGATGATGCAAATTGCAGGTATTGAGCACCACAATTTTAGTTCTGAGGATACGCAATATGTCCCAACACGTACCACATTTTTGTCATTGTCTTCCTGTAGAAAAAAATTATAATATGTTAATTGTGATTTGTGCCAACACATTTTAGTTATTTGTCTTTGTCCTTCTATAGATAAAAATTATAGTATGTTAACTGTGATTTGTGCCAACACAGACCACATTTTTGTCCTTGTCTTTCTATAGAAAAAATTGTAATATGTTCACCATGATTTGTGCCAGCACATACTATATTTTTTTCCTTGTCCTTTCATAGAAAAAATTGTTTTTTGTGATTTGTGCCAACAAATTTGTGTTTGTGTTTCTATAGAAAAGTTGTAGTCTGTCCATTGTGATCTATGCAAGCCCACACCAAATTTTTGTCCTTGTCCTTTCATAAAAAAAATTGTTTCTTGTGATTTGTGCTAACACATACCACATTTTTGTCCTTGTCTTTCTATAGAAAAAAATTATTACTTGTGATTTGTGCCGATCCATTTCAGATATTTGTGCTAGCACACACCACATTTTTGTTATTCTTTTTTATTGTAATTTGTGATATCCAATAGCTTGATCTGCTTTTATATATAAGATTTATACTATTTTTTAGCTTATCACTGTCCATACTAATTTTTCAATAGTACTTAGGGAATCTTTGTCTGCAATTGTGTAGAGGTTGTGTGCCAGGTTATATTTAAATATGAGATGAACTATAGAAGTACGTACGCTGCTACTAGTCCCCACTTGTTCCTAGGCACCTGTATCCCTGCACCACACCACAGTCTGCAGCACTAGTTGGGCTTTTGTACTAGGGAGGAAGCTGCTGAGCAGAAGCCATCAGACCGAGCAAACAGGATAGAGAAGGAAGATAAGATAGAGAGAAAGAGAGCAAGGAGTATTGTTTCTTTTTTCTTTTTTTCTTGGCCTTTGTGTTGCTGTGGGCTGTGGCTGAAGGCCCTGAACCCTGCAGGTGTGGCCCTTTTCTTTCTTGTGAGGAAATGGTTGGCGGTAACTGAGATTGTATCAGCGGGGATAGGATTGAGGAATTTATGGTTGATTAGATAATTGGGGCCCCTGGGACTGCATGTGTATGTGTGACAGAGAGTGACAAGGGAGAGGAGAGGTCGTGCCTGCTTTGAATTTGATGCCGAACTGAAGCTTATAATTGGGGCCCCTGGGACTGCGTGTGTATGTCCTGTTTTGTAGCTTTAGTCCATGAGAAATGTGATACCCATACCATAAGTGAAGAAAACCTGAAAAATGAGTTTTAAGCTGAATGAATTATCTGAAACTGAAAAGCTTCAGGATCAACAACATAGGACATGCTTTCTCTTTATCTGCTTGATTGGCAGAATTGACTTATATATGAACCTAAATGTTGCCAAAGAACTTAAGTGCGGATTCATGGCATCTGAGTTTTACTTTCTAATTGGAATTTTATAAATTTCCTATGATGCAAATTAATATTTAACTGTTTTTTTCTCAGGAAAAAGATGCAGCTCTAGGAAATGGTGGCTTGGATAGGCTTGCATCTTGCTTTTTGGATTCAATGGCAATATTGAATTTGCCTGCTTGGGGCTATGGCCTACGTTACCGATATGGACTGTTCAAACAACACATTGCCAAGGAGGGCCAGGAAGAAATTGCAGAAGATTGGCTTGATGTATGAACCAAAAATGCACATATAATTCTGTTGATATTTTTTTCTAGACCTCTATAACAAATTCTCCTTTTTTCCTTCAGAAATTCAGCCCCTGGGAGATTCCCAGGCATGATGTGGTGTTCCCTGTCAGATTTTTCGGCCATGTTGAGATTTTGCCTGATGGCTCGTGAGTATAATATAAACAACACATTTTTTGTTTGACGAAATTTATTTTTGCTGCATTTAGTTAAATTTGAAGTTTTTAAGGCTTCTCATACTTTCTAGTCTAGATAAAAAAGAGAATCACATTCCTTCGTTAGCTTGGTTGAACCATTCTAAACTCCTAGTTCTAAGAAATATTCATTTATCTCTTTTTTACCGTCCAGCTTCCGGAACAAAAAAACTGCAACTATGAGGTGTAATGCGGATGCCTTATTTTTTTGTGTAATCCAAAAGCTTCGCTAATATGAATTTTAAATGTCTGAACCACAAACTAAGTTTGGGTTTGGCGGATTTGCTTATACTTCAATGATAAATCCATTACATTTAACTTACCTAGATCTTCGTAGATCCTTCTCCCTAACTTTTTTTTTCTTTTGTTATTTATTTCATGTTATGGGTGGTTATTTGAGGGCCTTGATGTAACTCATCATATGATTGCTTTCTTTGTCGTGTGATAGTCGGAAATGGGTCGGAGGAGAAGTCCTGAAGGCTTTAGCATATGATGTGCTAATCCCTAGATACAAGACAAAAAATGCAATCAGCCTTCGTCTTTGGGAAGCAAAAGCTACTGCTGAAGATTTCAACTTATTTCAATTCAATGATGGTCAATATGAGTCAGCTGCCCAACTTCATGCTAGAGCCCAACAGGTGATATTTCATTCTAGAGTGAAACTATCGGCTATTCATAAGATTCATTTCCAAAGACTAAATAAAGAGCGATGCCTTTACTTACTGAAATATTTTTATTGATGATGATATTGCATCTTTGAAACCTATAACTTATTCCTTCATGGTACTAGTTCTATCTAGAAAAGAGACTTACATCTTTGAGTATCACATTGCAGATATGTGCCGTTTCTTTATCCCGTGATGCTACTGAAGAAGGAAAGCTTCTAAGGCTCAAGCAAAGCAGTTTTTCCTTTAAAAAGCATCACTTCGTAGTTAATCAATTCATTTCACTTGAGCAAGGCTCCAATAAAAGGGCCAGGCATGTATGCCCACCTTGTGCTTTTCTATATGTTTGGCAATGATCTATGAGATATTTGCAAACACAATGTTATAATTTTCTTGTATTGTTTGAACCATCAATATATCAGGATCAATCATGTTACCTCTAGTATATGCACCACCACCTGAACTGTTTTCAAATTGTACTAGGATAATGAGATTTAGATCATTTATCCTGTTTTCTTTTAGTTACAGTGTGCCTTTTATGGTTCTAGTTTGTTAAAGATTTATCAATATCTTAAAAATATCTCTCTGATGATTATTGATGAGCATAACTGAAAATGGGTTATTTCCAGGATATGATTGCCAGATTTAAAGAAATGAAATCTATGTAGTATTTGCACCTAGTGATTTATTGAGGTGGATTATGTATTTATATACATATACAGTATAATTGCAATAACAATATGTAGTATTTGCACTATTTGAAATGTGCAATTTTTGTATTCTTGTTTTGTAATATTTGAAGATGATATTCATTGTGCATTTTTCACCGAGAACTACTCTTTCTTTGATATTAGGCCTCTATGTCTTCTTAGTTAGTGGGCCTCTCTAGCACGCCTTTATTGGGCTGAACGACAGTGGGCCTTGTTTTGCCTGATGGAATTTGTGTGTTGCATTCTCTTAAAACACATGTTTTTCCGGTGTTTCAATTCGTGTGTTTTCTAGGGTATCTAACAACCATGTGCTAACTAGTTCAAAAACACGTGATTTTTCCTACGTTGAAATATGTGTGTTTTACAAACAGCAAACAACCATGTGTTGGTTTATGTTAAAACACACATGTGTACAGTAGACAGACTCAAAATAAGGAGCTCAACTCGTGTTGGTGTGACATGGTATGCTCGAGTGCTTTACAGTTTAAAATGTTCATGGGAAACATTAAATGCATAAACAACCCTTAGAAAAAAAGCATAAAATGATCCTAACGATGTATAACACCGAGATGTTTAAACTTCAGCACGGTCACTTCTTGCCCGGCAGTTTTTCACTACCGCTCCTTCACCAACAACCGATGTTCAGGATTTACGTCTGCTCCGCAGTAGGTTACGCAGTTGAGGACAAGTAACAAGTTGAAGGATGGTGTGTGCCGTTTCATTCCTCAAAAAACACAAATCGCATGCAGTTGGAGGTACTAGTAGGTGAAACCGTGAAAGTGCAGATGCGCTTTCTCGGGCTGGTTTAGATTGAGGTTAGGAATCAGTATTTGGCACTGTAGCATTTTTATTTGTATTTGATAATTATTGTCTAATCATGATCTAACTAGGCTCAAAAGATTCATCTCGTAATTTACAATCAAACTGTGTAATTAGTTATTTTTTTATCTACATTTAATACTCCATGCATGTGTCCAAAGATTTGATTTGATGGAGAGAGAGTGAAAAAACTTACAATCTAAACAAGGCCCGGATACTATATGGATAATTCCATTCCACTTCCACAGATCAAACGGGTCAAGAGATGTGGAGAATCAAATGCTCACTCCCCTGCATTTGTTTAGTTGCTCCCAACGACTGTGTTGTTCGTCCCCATTAGCTGTCTCCGATTCAGAGATATGGGCTGACCTATGTCGCTCAGATGCCAGAACTCGCAAAAACTAATCCCTCGCGTCTACATCGCCAGAAAGAAACCACACTAGACAAGGGGCTGCTGTTTGTTAGGTGTGTCTGAAAGCTGAACAAAACCCTCACATTACTCCTACATGGCACCAAGTAGGAGTACGTGCGTGCTGCTTGATGAGCAAGTTACCGCACCACAAGGGAACTAGGAACTGGCACCAGAGATCAGCTCTGACGTGATGCTGCCTGCCCGGCCCGCTCCGGTGTAAAAGCAGGAACGCGTGGATCGGAGGTCGGAGCACAGGTCTCCGCCGTTGAATGGATCCGGGACATGAGCCTGACGCTCGCGAGAAAGGCGTCCCACCCGCCGGTGTGCTTCTGTCATCCCCGATCTCGTAAATCCCTCGGTTCACTCTGTTGACAAGTTCTGGTATTTGATTAACAAGGGGTGATTAAATACTAATGTTACCACTCTGTTTGCAAATTGCAAGTGGCGCTGCACCGGCAACGCATTGACACTCTTCCGGTCGGTCTTCCCTCGGCTCGGAGCAACTTGGCGATCTGTGGCCGGGCGGGCGGTCAACGGGTCATGGGATGGGGGATGCTTGGGATCGATGAGCATTTATGATACTTTTTTTATGAAAAAACATTTATGATACTTTTTTTATGAAAAACATTTATGATACTGCATAAGTATAATTAAATTAATTATATAATAGAATTTCATAATGTCCTTTTGAAGTTATAGCTATTAATAATATTCGACCTGCAGGGGTAAGCCACCCCGGACATTGTTGTAATAGAGAAGACCTTCTCACACAGGCCGAGAAAACCCCGAACCCCTGCCCCACCATGACACAGGGGCACCGTTGCCCCGTGAGAACTGGGCCGGGCCTTTTTGACCCTTGCTTTGGCCGTAGGACAGACGAGGAGATTTTTTTAACCCCAGCCTGAAATTCGCTCCCACGCGAAGTCGAACTCAAGATCTGAGGAGTGCCGCCAAGGCCACCTAACCAGTTCAGCTAGGCCCCCTTTGGCTGCTATAACTTAGTCAAACTTCACGAAATTTAATTCAATTTAAATCTAAAGTTGTATCTTCTTTTTTGGAACGGAGGTAGTATCTTCCTATGCACAAATGAGTCGACCCTCAAGGTTTGCAGGCAGGAACACGGGGTGATACGATGCCGAAACAAGTTCAATTGCCGGATTATCAAGCGTGCCAAAAGTCTGGCTAAAGAAAGTAAGAAACCCTTACTGCGTCAGCTCCTCTACATTTGAGAACTGAAAAAGTGTGATGCATGACTGATGCTGTCAGTATTCATGCATCAAACACTGGCCAAACTTAAACATTCTTGCTTACAGTTGGATCACATTGAGATTTGTAATCTACAGTTAGTGGCCAGTGGCTAGAGATGGCTAGATTAGAGTATGAGGTTCTCCATGTTACTGACTCCAGCCAAGAAAACTTTACGTTCACATATAAAAAAGAACATGAAAAATTGGCTGTATACTCTAATTAAAACGGCATATTTACAAAATTTGAAGTTTCAAAAAAAAAAAAAACAAGATTGGTGACCGCACAACAGAACTTGCTAATTAGTAAGTAGAAATAATCAATTAGATTAGATATGCAACAACAAACAGAAAAAACGAAACTGCAGACTGCAAACAAGGAAACCTGAATTCCTCGCAAACAAACCCACCTACTTCTAACTACTCTATACATTATACAATGTACATGTACAAAGCTACATACTATATACCAAAATATACAAACAACCACATGTAAACTTCTTGTCCGACTTGTCCGTATATGTGTACCCGCCTATACCACCTTCGCAAATCGCAGGGCAGGTGGTTAGCCACCGACTCGAGACCACGATTCCGAGCCGAAATCCTGAAAGGGAGGGCTCACATTTCCCCTGCTTTCTCTGACTTCCAAACACCTCGTCTTTTTTACTTGCGCAATTTCTTTAATAATCCCACACGTATGCTAAACTGCTAATACTGGATTTCTAGTAGTACTAATCTTCACAAAGCAGGTTTGCAGGGGATCTCCAAGTCAAATCAAATGTCTGAAATTTCAAATCCCGATTTCAAACTTGAAGTCTCACTGTTTGGAACGGCTCCTCCACGGCGCGTCGTCGTGGCTCACGGGCTTCAGAACGGGTGGTGGCTCCGGCTGAGCCCGCGCACGTTGGCGAACAGCCCCACGAGATCCTGCCGGTACGGCAGGAACGTGCGCCGGCCGCCGCCGGTGGAGGCCTTGGCGCTGCCGTAGGACACCCGGCGCCCCGCCGCGATCGTATCGAGCTCGGTGGCGGCGGCGGTAGCGGCGGCGGCGGCTTTACTTCCTTTGGGCGGCTGCTTCGCCTTCGCCTCGGAGGCGGAGGAGGAGTGCTCCCTGTCCCTGGCCGGGGACGGCGGCGCGGAGAGGAAGAGGAACTTCTCCCTGCCGTCGCTGTGGCTGCGCCCGACGACGAGCTCCCCGATGCGGCGCCACCGCGGTATGGAGCCCGTGGACCCGCTCTTCCGCGGCGGCCGCGAGGGCGAGGACGCCGCCGAAGCCGACGACCCGGGCGTCCAGAGGCAGTAGCTGTCCGGGGACGCGCCGTCGAGGCCCGCGCCCGCGCCCGCGCCCGTGTCCGTCGTCGAGGACGACGCCGAGGTGGAAGAGGAGGAGGAGGACATGGAAGCGACGGACGATGTCCGCGCCTGCTCCAGCTGGAACAGCCGCCCGAGCGACGCCCTCGGCGCCGGCGCGGCTGGCGCTGGGGCGGCCTCGTCCAGGACTCGGCCGAACACCGGGTAGAACGCCCGGATGCGGCCGCCCGCAAAGAGCTCGTCGGCCGCCGCGGCGCCAGCGCCCACCTCGGCGGACTCCCGGCTCACGAAGGGGAACTCGAACTCGCCGTCCGAGTCCGAGTCCTCATCGCAGGAAGCCACGTCGTCGTCCTCCGTCCTGACGACGGTGGGTTCCTGGCGGCGGCGGACAACCGGTCTGTCGTCCTCCATGTCTCGCATGTTTCTGCTGCTCGGTTTGTTTGTCTGCGATCGGGTGTGTTCGGCGTGGGGAGGGAAGGAAAGGGAAGCAACTGCTAGTCGATTAGCGAGATGGCAGTGGCGTTTATATAGGGCAAACCGGGTAGCGGGAGGCGGCGACCTTCTGGAAGGGCTCTCTGCCTCGCGGCGCCCGTCTGCTCTGTGTTTTTAGCTTGGGCTGGGAGTTGGGAGGCGCCCACGTCCTCGGGTGCGTCCCCTACACGTCAGCCGTGATGCACGCGGACGGCGGACGCGGGGTTCGTTTCTTGCCTCTTGCTTGGGGGTGGGGTTGCTGCTGGTTGCGTTCCGTGTGCGTGTGCGGCGTTTGCTTGAGAGACAAGCAGCTGTTATTGTTAATCCGGTCGGCTGTAGATTGGCCGCGGAGTCGGCTGGCTCCGATAAATTTGGCTTACGCTGAATTGTTGGAATAGGAAAATACCGTGCGTTCGCTAAAAAATACTGTTGAAGTAGTGCAGCAGAATAGGATCAAAGCTTTTGTATACTTGGTCGCATTTTTTGTTAGCCGGTGAAGGGGAACTGGGGATTGGGCGCCCTGTTCGTTTGGCTTATAAGCCGTATTTTTTTAAACAATGAACAATATTTTTCTCTCATAATAAATCAGTCAACTATATTTTCAGACATGACTTATTTGATCAAATGAAGGATAGGAAGGCTACGATCTGATACCGGACAGTGTGAACAGAAGTAGTAGTACGTGAGACGTGACGATGGGA